CAGAGCTATTTGTCCCTTCAGATATCTCCAGAAGTGCAAGGAATACAATTGTACTTTTCCTGGAATTACCATCCTCTAGAGACCAAACTAACTTGTGGAAATACAAGCACTAGGAAGCTCTGAGTAAAGAAACTCAGAGAATACTCTGAATTTGCATCTTAAGTATTTTTTTCCATCCCACGCTGTAGAAATACAATGGGAGTAAAAATGGCAAATACCATCCATATGCTACACTACAAAATGACTGACAGAGCACAATGCAAACATTACTCCTGCACTGAATCAAGAGAATACATTAAAAAAAAATAAAATGCGTAAGTGGAATACCGATATACATTAATTCAATCTTCTCTTATTATGGAATTAAAAAACTTATACCTGTAATTATGGCTTACCCACATTACAAGCAGGGCTGCCACAGAACTGAACACGGGCCAGCTTTGTACGCGAGTTCAAAGCCAGCGTGATGTTGCCTTATTTCCTTACTAACATCATCTTTATCCTCTCTTGCCCTTCTTCTCAGTTAATGAGGGTTATGTACTGAAAGTGCTGAGATAAAGTAGTGGTAAGGAGGATACCGCAAAAGGCATTTGAAAAGCAGAAGTAATTTACTACATGCCTGCTTTGTTTTACTTCCTAAGCCTTCCTGTTGTGAAAGAAAATTCATCTTTTCTGGCAGACTCCAGCCTTTTTAGGCCTGAGAGCTCCCCAGGAGCTTTCGAGCGCAGGTAAATGGATGCAAGACTCAAGGAGCACAGTACAAGGAACATGGAATTAATGTTGGGTTTTGCTTTGGCTGTCACAGCTGACGTATAAGGAGAACGCTATATCCTTCCTTGCAAGAAGTATCTAGATGTGAAAAACACAAGGCTGAGCCCGTTGCTCATGACTACGGGCCTGAAATGCCAGGAAAGGAAAGGTCACGGTGCTGGTGGGTGAAGCACATAGGATCTACACCTAACCTGTCAGGGTGCTCCAAAGCCCAGTGATGTAAAAGCGCAGAGGAAGGACTGTGGCAGGACAGTAGGTGCAGCCTGTGCTCGGCACGCAGCGGAGACCCCAAGAGTAGGCACAGGGGAAGCATCCACTGCCTAATCTAAATAGCACACAGAGTGGTTTTGTCCTCTTCTGTTCTCCTGCCAGTTTGCACATATGTTCCGAGTACACAGCCTGCCCTCCAAAGACCACTTACAGGGGCAATCACAGGGAAGCAAAGCAGGAAGAAAGTATCCAAAAAGGGAGTTTGTTCAAGAGAAAAAAATGGAGACAGATGTAGAGCGACTAGTCACGGCTGGCGGTAAATAACCTTCTGTCTGGAGTGCTCTCTTTCTCTAAGAGGAGTTCACATATTCCATTTCATATTTCCTTTCTAGGAAGTCAAATCTTTGTTTTCCTGGCATTTGTTGTTCTTTTTTTTCCCCTTTCTTTCCCCTATGTATTTTTTCCCTGCATATGGTCTAAAATTGTCTTCTCGTTTTCCCTTCTTTCTGTGTTCTCTTTTAAGCGTGACATTTCTCCAAGCTCCCTCTCACGCAGACCGAATTTCCCTGCCCTGTCCCAGGCAACATCTTTTCCTACAACCCTCTCATCATCTCTGTGCCACGAGCACTTCCCTCTGCCTCTACATGTGCATACACATACAGGTGCTTCACACCTGCTCCTGAATTCGAGTCCCCACTTTTTTCTCATGTGCATACCTCAGAACCAAGCGAACGCAACACGCACACACAGAATATTCATCCTTTCACTCCCATAAACCTGTCAAGGCATATAGGGCAAGAAGCTATCTCTGCATAAATCTAAATCTCCTGTGAGGAAGCAATCTACTCAAAGGCAATAAAGCCAAAGGATATATTATTATCTTTGGTGTGGATCCTACTGGGCCGGGAGGTTGGCTGCTGGCTCCTCTCTGAACTTTCCTTCCCAGCCAGAACATCCGTCCCACAGACAAGTCTAAGCTTCCTTTCCTTGGTCTGATTTCCTCCTCCTGTTGTTTGGCCGGTAACCCAAAAGGACAGGGTTTAATTACAGAGTTTGGAAACCTGGCTTATGCTGCTCTGCCAGCGGAGGATAAAACTTCAGCCTGCCTTCCGAACCAGCACCATTGCGCACCGCTGATAGCTGCGTAACCCCACACAGCACAACATGAACCACAGAGAAGAAACGCCAAGTCAAACAAAAGTCCGGTCTTAGTCTTTAAACTTCAATTGCGAATTTCACCGAGAAAAACAAAACAAAACACTGAAGCTCAGAGATTTCTGCACCATACTACCATTTTGACTGTAGATTAAATAAACAGCAAGGCTTTTTTCTGGACTGGAGAGACATTGGAAAGGACGGATCTGAAACAGGTCCAGGCTCCAAAGCTCCCCTCTCAGAGAGAAACGCTGCGGAAAGCCACCGGGTAATACACGATCTTAACATCATCTGTGCAGCTTTCAGATGATCAATACATTTTCTAGGCAGATGCCCCACTGAAGTCTCATAAAACATTTTATACTTGTGGAGATAAAGCACCCATATCAAACACAACGGGCCAGACTTGAACGACAGCCCCATGGGTGATTTCTGAGGCTGGGCAGGGCACTGTGCATCCCGTGGCAGGACGCGTCCCTCGGAGGGAGCACCTTGTGCCAGTGACACACCAGTGTTGTCCTGGCATGGAAGGACACTTCAGAAGTGTTCTGTCCTTCACACTGATGAGCTGTGGCTCTTCAGGTAATCTCCCTGCCAGCAGTGCTCTTGCAGTGACCCTGTTTTGCAGAGAAGCTGAGGCAATGAATTCAGGGGACAGGCTGTTGGAAAGCATCGGCAGAAATATTGGGGTGGGGCTGCGTGGATATAGCCCAAAGATGGTTTGAAGGTGCATCCCACGCAGGCAGGATAAAGCTCTTTTTCTTCATAGCTGTGACAGTGATAGATAGTGTGGTGAATCTGAGCTATATCTAGTTGGTACCTGGCTTGAGTCCCTGATGTTGCAAGGTGATTTTTCTGCCATTTTACAAGCAAGACTAAGCAGAATCTGGGATTTTTCCATAGCGAGTGAGGAAGGTCATGAGGAAAGAAGACCCTTCTCTGACTTGTTTTTTGTCTTCCTGAGCACCTCAGGAAGTTTGACATGGGCTGTCGTGCTTCTTCATGACAGGCACCCAGTGGTGCCTAGGAGTAGTGGAGGTGCTTTGGAGGTGTAAGGCTTTAGGTACTTCTCTTGTCGAGCTTAGCAGCTCAGTGCCACCATCTAATCAGGACTTAGATGAGACGGAGGTAATGACCACATATGGGGAAAAACCGCCAGAAATGAGAGCAAAATTAATAGCCAACCTCTGGCTGTGGCACAAATAGAGAACGTTTGTCATTAACAAAGAGCACCCCAAACTTTGGGGGAGGAAAGTTAGCCCCCAGCCTGACAACGACGCAGAAGCAGTGACCCAGTCAGCTTTTAGCCATCTGTGTCTGCAGAGGAGGTGCTGATGTCTCCCTTTCAATAGGGCGCCGAGCTTTTGTTCGTGTTTTTGCCGCTCCATGAGCAGACCGGTCTAGTCCAAGGTGAAGCTCTGCCTTCCGTCATCTGGAGCCTGGAGCTGGTGGAGGAAAGCCCCCAGTGTCTACTGAGCAGGGCACCTCGCTGAAAACACCAGAGCCCTGGGGATGGCAGCAGCAAGGCAGGCACGGGGAGCCTGGCACTTGTCTGCCTGCAGGTCCACCCCTCTCCTCCTGCCAAAGTGCCACATCTGCAGTCAATAAGGGCCCACAAGCTGGCTCCTCCTCATTAGAGGAGAGAGGGCAGCTGGCAGGGGATCCTCCAAGGGCTCCCAGGCGCGGGAATCAGTCCCCTCCCAGTCTGGAATAGCCCAAATTTGGTGACTTTCTGGGCATGCTGTAAAGGACAGCTGTTTGACAGGGTCTCCAGGGAAAGCTGTGGGTATGTTTCCTACACGATGAAGGATATAGGTGGCTGGCCAAATGCCCACAGAACTGATTTTAATGCTGTTCAGGTTGAATTTACTTTTCTGTGCTGTATAGTTCATTATACACAGTGCCCTGGACACGCATGTGTTGTTTCAAAACAACCCAAACCCATACTATTTTTAATTCAAACAAACAAGAAAGAAAAATAAAAAAAACACATTGCAAAAGAACCTTTGAGCTGTTTAGAGGAACTTCTCAAACACAGGCAAACTGATGATGAAAGCACTGCTTGCCTTTGTCTCACAAATACGACTTCTGTTATTTTTATTGGCAATAAATGTTTGATTATGTAGCTGTAAGCAAAATCTAACTTCACCTATGCGTGCAGCACTGACCCAGAAAATATTTCCAATAGTATTAAGCACCCAGATGATCTCAGAATAAGTGATCAATGGACAGTTAAGCGTGTAACACAACATAACCCAAAAGATGATCAACAAGAAAGATCACACACGAAAATTAACTGAGAAAAGGTAGAAGAGATGCTTCCTAAACCCACTGAAGTGTAACACCCAGTGATATCTATTTAGATATGAAGCCTCCCACCACACTTCATAGTATCGAAGATAACAAAATATCTCCTTCTGTAAGTCTCTCAAAAGTCATTACTACGTGAGCTCAAGTGTTGTGTAACGCTTGAAGAGTGCTTCTAAGTTCTATAAGTTTAGGGATATTTATTTAAACACATTTATTTAAGGCACAGCCCAGGCAGGTACTTTTTTTTGCTAACTGATTTTCACTGCTATCCCAGAATTGAATCTGGACATTTTTACAGAAAAAGACCGCCTATCTTTCACTGCATTATTTAAATACTTCAGATATTTGGCCAAAACACAGAAGTGACACACTACAGAAACATTCACAGCTGCAGGAGCAATAAAACCTCTACGATATTATCATCAGACTGACCTTTTCTCAGGAGAAGTTACAAGATGTTTAGAACTGACCACCTTTTCTACACAGCATTCAGGGGATTCTGATAACAAAACACAGCAACCGGAGAGGATGTTCTCCTGAAAGCCGGGGCTTACCTGGCTCCACTTCATGCCATCCACTTGACTGGCTGCCACTGCCCGGAGAGCGCCCTTGGCTTGTATAAAACGGCTCCTCACCAGGACTGTCCATCTCATCCTCCACAGACTTGAGACGTTTTGTAGAGCTGAGAAAGCGAAAACGCGTAATAAGTACTACGGATACGGAGAGGAACAAAGGCACTCCTGTTGGAACGTATCTTGCCAGCCCTGCTTGAGACTAACTTAGTTATGGAATCTCTAACAGATTTAAGGCTGAGAAGGGCTCTGTGCGAGTTGTGCGCAGCCACCCTGCCAGCCCAACCTCTCAGCATCCACTTTTTCTTTCCAATTTGCTTCGTGGCCAATGACTAAGCTTCAAGGAGAGAGAAAACACTCTCATGGAGTCCAGGCTGAACCCCTAAACATGCGTTAGTTTAACTAGAAGATAATTTAGCCTTTTACACTTCAAGAAGTAGGACATCTTTCAAAGCACACAGAGGTTAACAAAAACTGAAGAACTTAACAGCAGGACTTTAATTTGTATTGTGTGATTTTTGCAATTTGAATGAACATGGCAATGACATACCAGACTTATTTTAACTGTCAGATTTTTCCACAGCTTATTCTGAAAGACAAATTGTTTATCAGTTCAAACTTATGCTTTCTATCTTTTAACCGTAGCCATTAAATTAACCCAGGCTTCAGTCCCATAAAAAACAAGCAAGGGAATGATGGAAGAATCCATTTTTAGTTCAAACGTTCACCTTTTCCTACAGGTATATAAGCATTTCACCCTGGAACTGTATGCCACCAAGCATAAAAAGCCTCCAAGAGGTATCTCTGGCCAATGTCAGCACTAAAGGACTCCCTCGTGTTGTATCACACCTCCCTCCCCAAAGCCCAGGAGACACAAGAGCCCTTTCAGTGGTCTCCGGTTGTTCTGCAGGGAGGGGATCCCAAAACCAAAGACACTCGGCTTGGCTCCATTTTCTCTAACGAGTTGCACAGACCGCGTGGGGCCGTTACCGAGAATTTCTTTTCTAAGTACTTTTCCAAGGCTGGGTCAGCTCACTTTTTTTTTTTTTCCACCAAATCTGTGTTCTGTTAAGACTTAAGGCATTCAAGAACAGGCTCCTCTGCGTAGGGGGAACATATTTAACAGACATAAAAAATTCCACTGCCATTTCTATTGGTTTAAAGCCTGCAGCCTCTCTACTGCTCCCCACCCGAAGCTCTGCACAGGTAGGAGCTGGCGGGTATGCAGAATCAGTTTGTGAGAAACAGGAAGAATAAGTCTTGCGGTATGCGTGGAATGCAGGTTTGGCCGTTCCTTAATTTAGAGAATTGTTGTGTGTCAATAGGGGAAATTGTATGCATACAATATAATTACCGCCCGATAATTCTGCTGAGTCTGTGTATTTAAGGAATATTTTTTTTTTCCTGACTGGGAACAGCCTAATGAGAGGAAAACAAACATATCACCAAGTTATTAACTACCCATGCTGTTTATAATTAGCTCCTTATCAGTGGTAGCTATTTGCAGAAGAACTGAAGAGCAACAACTGAGCTCTTAAGTAACATTAATAACCTCACTTTTTTGCTTCTGGAGTCACAAGTAGATTCTACCTGAGAACAGTGCTAATGATGAGCACTGTGGGGTACGCAGTTTACATGCAAAAAAGAAAGAGCACAAAGTTTTTAACTGATGTGTGATGGAGATTGCAGTCACTGAGCTTCCTAACGTGCACACTAAATGCAAGATGCAGAATGTTCTACAAACTGCACAAAGTTATTGCTAAGAGCTTCTCTTCAAAGATGTTTTTTAAAAAATAAAAACAACAGCTATATTCAAATATAGAGACTTTTTACATGTGTACTTGCTTACTGCAAAGCTGGTGGCACTGCAGACTGACGAAAAAAACCCCAAACATAAAAGAACCCTGGGCCTGAAGTCAGACTTTCTTGTCATGTCTTTGAAATAAGTGATCTATTTTGGCTGCGGGGGAAAAAAAAATAATCAATCTGGTTCCTTAATAGCATTCAAGACTACTACAGTGACTGAGCTTATTTATAAATCTAATCTCATGGATGGTTAAAGGTAAAAAATAAAAAATATCCTTGTTTGATAGTTGGCATCCAGGCCAAAATCAAAATCAGACTAGGTAGTCATCTGCACAAGCAATTCAGTTTTCCAAAGGCTGGGTCACAAATTTCTAACTGCTATAAGAAAACTAGAAAGAAAAACTGCTGCACTGACTCATCTAACACTTTTCACAGTAAAGAATGCATTTAAGTTTATCTTAAGACTTTCCTGCTAGGACAAAGCAGCACATCTCTTATCTTCTGCCACAAGTGAAACTCCAGCAACTCCAGTAGAACTTCTCCTGATACACCGAGATACAAGCCAAAACTTACACAAGTTGATGCAGCAGTTTTTCTTTAAAGCTTGTATGTATAAAAAGAACTTTACCAGCAATCCAGTTGAACATTCAACTCTGAGAATCTGAAACAGCTCCACATCTTGAGGCCCCCAAACAGCTTGTCAAAGAATTTAATGGTTACTTTCCCTGATGAGTAATGATGCTGGCCTGGGTTTCCAAGTAACGAGGTAGTAGGCAGAGATTAAATTACCTGGTAGAGGATGTGCTAGGTAAAGACCTCCTCATTGCTCCTGGGCTCATGCTGTAGTATGAAGAACTTTCCAAATCTGAGAGGGAGAAATTAGGGCCTGTTCCTGCAGCTATCGGTGCTGGGGAAACAAAAAAAGATCACAGTCAGTAAGTCATGTGAATACACCATGAACTGCACTTCAAAATCACTTTCTTCCTCCTCCTGAGTGTGTTTAGTTTCACAACGAGAACAGGTGGGACATGGAAATTAGGAAATGCTAATGGTAACTGGCATTGCAATCAAGGAGATGTAAATTTTATCAAGAATACAATGTTCCATGACGAAGGCTCTTTCGTACATTCCTGCAAAGATATTATTTAAAAAAACCCCAACACAACACACAAAACCCCCCCCAAACAATTACGGTGAGATTTACTTTAAGCACTGCTTTTCTATTAATATCACTCTAACGCTAATGAAACTTGCAGCTTTTGCTTTTAGGACAACATTGCATCTCTTGGCATAGTTACAAATAGGCTGCATCATCCCTGTAGTGTGCTTGGCACAATCTATAAGCGGTCTAGGCAGGGAAATACACACCTCAGGACCTCTGGTATGTACGTGATGTACATCCACAACCACAGAGGTTACAGATGTCCCTTGGAGAAAGCACAGAAGCAGATGAGAAACGAGAGTTGTTCTTCTGCCTGCAACTATCTGAGTTTTCTTCTGGCCTCTCCTCCAGCTAAATCAGAGCTGGAGACATAGGGCTCTCAAAAGCTTTTATCCAGCAGTTAACTTCCACTGTTCACCTCTCATCACCTTACCCAGCACCGAAGTTTTACTGTAAAGGATATGAATGCTGTTAATTTCCCTGTCCTAGAGCCGCAGTTTTACAGTAAAACATGATGAATTCCTACACACCCTGAAGTCTGCAGGCACAAGCCTATGAACTCCGTGTGCCGTATTCTTCTCAGGACAGAAAGGAACGGAGCAGTTTAATGGTAAAGTCAACAGATAATGCATTTCACAAAAAAAGCCACTAAACAGCAAATGGTGCCATATCCACTGTTGCCGTTGCCTATTTACAGGACAATATGGCTCTGGGAGCTGACAATTACACATCACGATTTTCTCTTGCTTTTCAGAGACATCTGAAACAAAGGATGTCCTGCACAACAAAACGCACAAGCTTGGCCTGGAACGTATTGTCTGAGAGCCCTGATTCACGGCGACAAAGGCCTTGAAGCAGTCTCAGTGCCACACAAGGCTCCTGAGCCAAGTTTAATCTTTGGTCTGAGAGTCTGGCCCATTTTCAAACGTGAAAAAATCTTTCACTCCGACGGGGCAGGACTGAGGAAATGAAGACAGGATAGCTCCTATCACCCAGCTAACATGTCTGGGCTGAAACGCAGGCTGCTAGGAGTGCTGCCACTGCCTGCAATGGGGCCAGTATTTCACCCCAAGTCTTAAGGAGCTCACAATGTCAGATCTGACAGAGGAATAATGTAGCTTTGCAGCTGCCTCATCATCCCCACAAGACAATTAGTTGTTGTTTGGCAAGGATCTTTTAAGAACGTCATCGAGACAGAAAGGCAACAGCCTGGACAGCCACGGGCTTTTAAAAGCACGGGACGGAAAATACACAACGCCATTAAAACTTAAGAAAATCTGGAAGGATCATTAAAAGCAACCAAGTTGGGAAGTAATTTATGACAAGAACACTCAAATCCTTTGTTATCTTCTCTTAACTATCATATGCTTCCTGCACGCTGGGCATATGAGAGGGTGTGTTAACAGAGAGAAGGAAAAATTAAGCACAGTAAAATTAACTTGTTTTATCAATTTGTGCTTTCTGCAACAATTTCCTGACAGCAGCTCCAAGAGGCTGTAAAACTGATGAATTTGCATGGAAAAAGAAACCGGTGTAAGTAATTTGTGTAAAAGGTAACACGGACATGGACTGCTATAATTCAGACACCCTGCAGATAGCAGACTGCTGCAGTGTGAGCAGTTATGGGTTAGAAAAATGACCACACTGCAGTCAGTCTGACTTGAATGGAAATCAATCATAAAGGTACTCTCTGCAGCATCTACTCCACAGTTTTCAGCAACTTCCTTGCCAAACAGATTTGTGCTCTGTAAACCCGTCGCTGATCAATTCCTCTGCACCCTCCACCTACCAAAGCCTAACTTTCGGGTTAAGCATACTGTTTTCCAAACAGGAACATAAAAAGGCAAGCACTAAATTAAAACACCTTTTTTATTTATTTTTTCTGAGGCACGATGAATTTCGTAGCCATTGCAGGATTTATGAAACAGTTTTATTCCATGGAAGGAAAAGTGATATCTGGATAACGCTTCTCTTCTTTCTCTCAATTCCTTCTGTTTATTGCTCTCCCCTCAAACCCTGGAAGTCTCTGTTCCAACCCTTGAACTGGCCGTATAGGAAAATGAAAAGTATCTCCAGAGCAGGGGTGGGGTAGGAACAACGTATTGCTAACGCTGTGTAAACTCGGCACAAAGCAGAAAGGGCTAATCGCACACGAACTTCCGCTCGGGGTAGCAAGCATGAAGGCTGCTTTGTCCCTCACAGGCCAAACCACCTTGCCACAATCAAGTCTGTTGGCAACCTGAGGGTTAAAAACCAAAACTCACCGCTGATATACACAAACAGATCTAAGCAGCAGAGGTTGAAGCGCTATGGCAGCAAGTACTCCAACCGCCTTGGCAGTGCTTGCACAGGAGCCACAATCCCACCTCAACCAGCTCGAGGTCTCTCAGCAAGCATTGCATGGGGCAAATATGTGCTGAAATCCCTTCTGCTGCCCGCCTGAGGGGCACAGGGGTGATGCAAAAGGGTATTTGTACCTTTCCTTGCAGTTAACCCACTTCCTATCCCAAAATGTGCCAACGTGTAGAGCCCACCCAGAGACCATAGGGAAGAGGATAATGTTTTTCCTGTTCCCAGCTGGAATTTGGTTGAAGCTGTGTGTGCTTCTGTCCCTGCTTCAGCTGAGCCACACCTCACACCTCCCGTGCTGGGCTTTGGCTGTGGGGACCTCGCTGCCCAGCATCATAGAGTCATAGGATCGTAGAATTACAGAATCATAGAATCACAGAATCACAGAAGGTTCGGGGTTGGAAGGAACCTTGAAAGATCATCCAGTCCAACTCCACTGCCAGAGCAGGGTCACCCAGGGCAGCCACACAGGAACACGTCCAGGAGGGTTTAAAAGGCTCCAGAGCAGGAGACTCCACACCCTCTCTGGGCAGCCTCGGCCAGGGCTCCGGCACCCTCAGAGTAAAGAACTTTCTCCTCATGTGGAAGTGGAACTTCCCATGTTCTAATTTAAACCCATTATTCCTTGTTTTATGGCTGGGCACCACTGAGAAGAGATTGTCCCCTTCCCCTTGACACCCACCCCTCAGATATTTCTATATGTTAATAAATCCCCTCTCAGCCATCTCCTTTCAAGGCTGAACAGCCCCAGGTCTCTCAGTCTCTCTTCACAGCAGAGATGTTCAGTCCCTTGATCACCCTCGTAGCTCTCCCTTGGACTCTCTCCAGTGGGTCCCTGTCTCTCTGGAACTGGGGAGCCCCAAACTGATCTCACCAGGGCAGAGCAGAGGGGCAGGAGAATCTCCCCAGCCCTGCATCAGCCTCGGGGAACAGGGACGGTGCCACTGGCCCAGCCGGGAGGCACCCCAGCTCACTCCAAACACCTTTTTGCACTGCCTTTGCAGACTGTCCACCTCGGATGAGCCCAGAAATCTGACGGGAAGGGAACACTTGCATGTATTTGCAGGCTTCCCCGCAAAAGCTGCAGCTCTGGAGAGTAAACAAAGGGATTGAAGTGGCGCAAACTGTGGCAAAACTCTGTCTAAATCAAACCATTGCAGCACGGGACAATCCAACACGCAACCTCCCCACACCTCTGCTTGTACACCCCGGGAACAGGCTGTGGCCCTGCATAGAGTGGCAGCGCGGTTGGGAAGCTCCACTCGGACACGGCTGGGCTGCAGAAACTCCGGGCGACGATGTTAAACCCACGCCATTTCCCCTCCGCTAAGAAATGCTCTGCAGCAAAGTGACCTTCTGATGGCTCAGGAACATCTCCCAAACAGGAAGGGATGTCAGAAATTGCAGTTGCGAGTCAAAACAACAGTCTCCACCAACACGCCGGCATCAAGATGTCATTTGACCCAGGATTCTGACCTGGCGGGGGGTGAGGAGGAAGGTCCCCTCTTCCCCTAAAGCCCAGCTCGCTGATGTGCGCAGGCTTGCTGAGCAAACAAACTGATGCTGGCCTCAGCTCCCATTTCAGCTGCTGGCATGACAATAAAAAACCCATCCCTGGCCAGATGGGACACGTCTCGCTCGCTCTGAGGGAGCTGGTTTGCCTAGAAGAAGGAGGAGGTGCTGTGCTACACCCGGGGACGTGGGGCAGCATCGCCCCTGCTGCCAGCCTGCGCCCTCCACTGCCAGCTTGTCAGCTCAGATCTTCACCCGAAACGTCAAGAAAAATAACAGAGAAATTAAGAAAAAGCCCTCTGACTTAACCCAATTGGAATATTTGTTTTGAAAAATTGATTGAATTACAGAACAGGAAACCCACTAAATAAAACCAGCCAGGCTGGCATTTGTCTTCCTTGGAATACGGCACTCTCTTTTCATCATGTTAATATTTAGTTTCTCTTTTTTTCCATTTTTACATATTTATTTTTACAAAGGAGCTGGGATGTGACTAAGATCATTACATGTGTAACACTGCAGCAAAGTGATAATGTGTTTAAGGTTAAATGGGAGAAACATGACATTTGACTAATAAACTTTTTCCTGTGTTGTGACTCCATAAACAAAGGGAAACACACTGAGCTGCTGCTGCCGAGAGGAAAGGGGAGCTGGGTGGTTTTCTTTTTTTTTTTTTTTTTTTGCAAGGCCTTTGTTTCCTACACACAGTATCGTTACATTTGGAGAGGTTTCGCCAAATACAACAGATATGAAATGTGTGATGTTCATTTCAAAATTACAAGTACAGGCTGCTATTGACCATCTAATTATGCTGAGTTCCATTTATAAACATAGCTAACCACTAAGTTTATAGAGACTTTTTGTGCTGCTTTAATAGGATATTGATCGAGAGCAAGGTTTGAGTGGACTGCCATTGAATTGTGTAATGGCATACAAAAGGCAAGGTCACGGCAACTGTTCACTCTATGCCTGCAGTCTATTTTTTATTATAATCTTTTCTTTCTTCCTCTCATACCCAAGCCCACACAGTGAGTTTTGGATAGCAGTGCTTTGCTAAGGAATACAGAGTATCTTTTTAAATGTTAATTTTGGTGCTGCTCACTTTAACCACCTTCACTACTGTAATGCTTAGTATGGCAGAAATCATATGGGCTGCTGTTTCGACAGAGCTGTTTTATAATGCCTCGGCCTTCACACATGTGGAGCAGAGCCTCTTCTCCTCTCCCAAGCTACAGAGAAGCAGCAGCATCCTCCTGGCCCTGACCCATGACAGGAGCCAGGACACTCACACCTTCCCCTGGGCACCCCAGCCGTGCCGGGGCTGCCAGGGCTTTCCCTGCAGTTTGTTTCGGGGTACCTGGCCACTGGATGAAAAGGGAGATATGTTTCCTCTGCCACACCCACGCTCCATGCCTGGGGCGGCGGCATTACTTTCATTTTTAGCACTTGTCCACCTGCCTCCTGGCGAGGATGCACGGCCTCGGTGCCGCCAAAGCTGTGGCTAACCAAGCCCAGCAGTGCTCGGCATCCTCGGCATCGCAGGATCGCGAGCTCTCCAAGACACCTCTTACCTGTGGAATTGGCGTAACTGTTTCAGGGATAATTAGCTGGACCATTTCTATGTTTATAGAGGAGCGGTAAGCAAGCACGTCTATGCTCGTGGTTGCACTGGCTCATTGGACGGATTAAAAGTTACCCCACTTGCTCTGCACAGTTCCTTACCACGCACACCGAGCGTCTTAAAACTCAGAGCGTGGCGTTTTCAGTCCAGGGCGCAGTCAGAATTCCCTTGTTTATCAGCACGGAGAATGATGTCATTTTGACAAATAACACAGCACAAAACAAATATGTTTGATTTGGCTCTAGAGAAGGTTCATAAATCCTAAATCTTTCTTCACATCCCGGGCAGCGCAGTTTATCTGGCTGCTCGAAGGACCTCCAAGGGAGGAGATCTTCCCAGCAGCTCTCTGCACAAGAGCACAGACCCAAAGCCAAGAGGGGAGCAGCATTCCCCATGTCTCTCTCTCTGCCCTCAGACTGCCACGGCCTCCCAGCCTCCGCCAAGCAAAGGGGACCACGCACTTGGCAATGGCTTGATGCCATGGCCACCCCTCTGCCATCATCTTTTGAGCATTTTCCTAACAAGGGTAGACAAGGAAAAGGTTTTGCTTGGCCAACAGCTGGCTGTCGGTTCGCAAAACCCGTACGTCTCCCACGCTTCTGCTTCCGAGCCTTTTGTTGTCAGCCCAAAGCTCCCTAGAGATGGGAGGATGAAGTCTCTGTTATCTGAAGGGGTCTCCCCAGTATCTGGAGTGACAAGCAACACTTAAAAAGGAGCTCACACCCTTTGCCTGCTAATAACGTAGAAGTGACAGCACGCATCCACATCTTATGGGGTGGAGAGAGGTCTGTGTGTTTTTCAGATGAACAGTTATGATCTAGTTTCTCTGTTTTACTAGGCTCTGCAAGATTCAGCAGCTGGGTAGCATTTCGAAACGAAATCTGCATCTATAGGACTGAAGAAAGCAAGTTTCCGTTACCAAAACAGTCTAGACTTGTTCGATAGCTCCCAGAAACTGTGATGATCAGCACTGATAGCTAAGATAGATAATGGTAACAGCTGACCTTTTGCTTGATCAATTCATTCCTCAAATTTGCATGACGGAGACAACTGCCTATTACTTGAGACTCCTTGTCATGTGCACCTCTGGGAACTTTACTAAATAAACCTGGCACATAATTGCTACCAACATTTCCTAACATTAATTTTAGATAACAGCAGCCACAGGCCAGCTAAAACTGTGGGAAATCACTTATTTCTATTATCACAAGCAGGCATGGAGTGAAAAATGACAATGGGCATGCCCAAAGATGACCTTTTTGTAAAGCCAACACCGAGCATGCTCAGGAAGAGAGCAGAGACTAAACATGCCCGCTATGGACAGGTAGGCTTGTTCCTGGCCAATGTTGGCTTCTGAAGGAGCAATGACGTTTTAGAAAGCAAAACCAAGAGAACGGAGTGAGGACATTTTGATTACTCAAGCTGCAGACCCTTAATAGCTGCCAGCGAGTCTGGATGATGTCTGTTCATAAGCTGAGCTCCCCAGCATAAAAGTAACCAACGGTCTGGTCTCAACTCGAGATACGGGAACACGTAGACAAACCCAGAGAGGGTTATTTTAAAAGACCTTGCCTGCCAATTTAGGCAAATGTGCAGCACGTACTTTGTTGCTCTGTTATGTTAAATAATCCTTTGAATACGAGCATGTGAATTCATACCGACTTCGCTGGGAATTTGTTGCTAGACTCTACGCTAAACATATCCTACTGGGTAGCCGTGGCATGTCAGGCTGTGGGCTTCTCAGACCTCAGAAAGTAAACAAGGTTACGGCTGGTCAGTACATGTCTGGGGCATCTCCAAGGAAAATCCAGGGTGCTATCAAAAGCCGTGTAGCTAAATCAGTTGCTGGCACTCTTCCCTCTGAGTCAGTTCTGAAGTGATATCCCGATATGCTTTGGGGACACTATTTTTGGTGGAGGTGCTGGCTTGTAGACAGGATATAAAACCGAGGTCTTGACCTCCCAGGATTATTAAAGAGCCCATGAGAAGGAGTGCAAACCCCTGTGTCTGGAACAGATAAAAGCTTTTCACTTTGCCCACCAACACCTTCTTTTTTATTTCCGAGAAAGTTCACGCCTGTCCTGCTTGTCCTGCATGCAGGTGCCCTGTCCTTAGAGGCAACTTCAACAGCGGGCAAAGGGAACGTCTCAGGTACTGCTCGTGTTTTTGCAAAACACGCTGAAAGCTAGGATATCCAACAGACAATTTTTTACTTCAGTTACGATAGAATATCACGGAAAACTCATAAGCATGAAACATGACACTTCATGAGACTGATGCCAAACTCTCCGGGAGGCTGGGACCGGGGCTGTGAAGGCTCAGGTCCTGAACGGGGGCACTTTTCTAGCAGCCCTGTCCTGTGCACACATGAAGCACGGCTGACAGAGTCCAGAGGCAGCTCTGCTGTGCAGGGCTCCTCCAGCCAAGATAAGATTGTGGTGAAGTGGGATGCCTTGCAGAGGGGGAAGGGCAGTCCTTTGGGCCTCACGCTGTCACACTGAAATAAAGTGACATAACACGGAGACGTTCAAAGGCTGGCGATAACTCGGTTTTGTCCACCACGGCCGCAGGTACCAGCAAGCTGGTGTACACAGCCCAAGTTGCCAAAGTTGCTATTTAAGCACTTCGGTAAGTGAACTGATTTGCAAATGTGCTGAGCACTCAGCAGCTCCTCTTGACTTCTGTGTCCTCTTAATTTGTCCTTCTCACAAAATTCCCACCAGTCGTCAGGGAAGAAAACTCAGGAGAAATGTGTGCCTCCAACTTCTTATCTCTCTGTCTCTCTCCCCAGCGCATATAACTCTGAGATGCCTGCATCTCTCACTTGCCATGCTTTCCTTGTAGCAACCTATTTTTGAATATAAAGCCACTTTACTAGCTAGTGCAAGTCTTTCCAAAAGAGGAAATAAAATGGGAAAATCCTTACAGAAACCCTGTGTTCTGACTCAGAACCACAGATTCTCTGCTAGGTTTGTGCCAGTTAGATTCCAGCGCGAGAGAGACTTAAGCTACGTGCTCAGAGCCAGTACATACACAAATATTCCTGCTATCTAAGAGGAAATATTTTTACCACTGGCTGTGCTACAGGGATCGGTTAGAAACCCTGCAGTTTTCAAGGGGCACGTAGCTGAGCAGTTCACCTGGAGGAGTGGGAATTGGTGACAATGTGATGTTACTGCATAGCTCTACGCTAATTCCAGAAAAGATCCCCAAAGGACTAGTACCTATGGCCCTGGCTTCCCAATCTCTACAAGAGATTGTCCATACTCTCTCTCCTTGGACCATCTGGGTTATGTCATAGCAAAATGCAATCAATGCACCTTTGATCAACGGAACGGGGTAGTGACAGGTACTCTTAATTCACTGTTGTTAGTGAGTATTGACAAGCCTGTAATGATCACGCTGCAGCGTGTCACTCATGCTGGGGGCATTAGCATTCTTTAAAGGTCAACCCCCAAGTCTTTCTAGAAGACAGAATTCCTTACGGTTAATGGGCAACACAGGCCTTGCGAAGTCCAGATGTACACCGCTGCCCGGCTGAGATTATCCGAGCTGAAGCTGGTGCAGTGGTTGGCATTATTAATGAGTCCATCAATTTGCAGGTGTACAAACATGGCATGGGTGAAAACAATGTGCAAAAGCATCGTAAGAACATTTTCAGGCTTATGGGCACAGATTGTGTCATTTCTAGAGGCCTTGGTTAAAACCCAGTCCTTGGATCCTCCAAGGGATCCACCAAGTAAGCTGATCTTTGTAGGCATTTCTCTGCACTTCGATACAGAATCTGCCCATTTTCAGCTGGGTACCAGACAAGCTTATCAATTTGCACATGCAGGTTTGCAGCATTATTACTTTTTTTCTTTACTTAAAAAAAAAAAAATTACGCTGTTTTATCTTCCCACATTAAAAGATGTGGCACGTAAACACTGTCCACTGGTGAGAAGCAGGGAGAAGAGACTCTCAGTTTTCAAGCCATCGTTTTTGAATTGGGGAAGGGGCACGATAAGAATCAAAGGGGAAAAAAAGAAAAAGGGGTTGCAGAAACTGCAGAAACTGGCCACAAAACGATACTTACTTTGTGAGACTCTTACTAGCTCGGTCACACTGAAAACACCTGATGTGACAAAACTGTCCTGGAAGCCCAAATGTCCTACAAAACAAACAGAGGGAGAGAACTGCGATTAGCTTTAAGCATTTAATGACAGTATTCTCAAATACTTTACTTTCATTTGGACTTAAAATGTGACACCTAATTTCCCACTTAGCAGTAATTATTGTTTATGTAGGTGGGTAACTAGTCATACAGCTACGTAGGCTGCTTTGTGGTTTCTATCTGGAGGTTAGGAAAGCTAACATGACACATCAGCAGGGAGATTTTTACATGTTAAAGCATCTCAACAGGAAATCTGAAACAAAAGAGGACTATTTTAATAAACGGTTACCTTGGGTGACCCCTAATGACTTCACAATTGAAATGAAAATACTGTACCTAGGAAACAGACAGGACAGCTAAGTTCCATAATCGTTTTAAACATTATTCTCTAAAGAAACATCTGATCAGGATTATCTACCCATTCATTCAAACAAAACAAGATTTAAAGATGTACTCTTCATTTTTCTAAGGTTACGCTGGGGAAATCTTAAAATAGCAGCTGGTTAAAAAAAATTAAATTAGTACCTTTCCCCCACACAAAAAAAAGAGAATAATATTCTAACGTTTAAAACTAGCTTTCAAAAAAAATTAAATGAATCTGTGCATAAGAGAAGTATTAACTTCGAGCTTTGAACTGTCTTTCGGAATCAGGACGCACGCTTCCCCGCTCGCTGCCCTTGTGCAAGGAATGCCTCTACACTTGGTATCAAAACGTTATTACACTTCACATAACAGTATTTCCCTTCTACTCTGAAAACATGCCTACCACAAACGTTCATTTAATTTTCACGGCTATGATCAATTACAAAAGGAGCAGCTCCGGGGCTGCAGCCCAGCGCAAGTGCGCAGGGGGGGGTACGGCGCTTCACGCGGGACGTCTCTGGACTTCAATTAGAGGTTCAGACTGACCTCCCGCTTCTGAAACCAGGGTCAAAGGAGAAATCTCAGGATAAAGAGATTATTAAAAGAACTGTAAAGTCCTGCTTGCCCACAGGATAAGTGGCATACCTTTTTAGGCTGTCCTACTTAGAGTCACCGATTCCAGCGCACGCACGCGTATATTATCGAATGTTTTGCAGGGGCACCATCTGGTCTTTCATTAATTGTTTGTCAGATCCGCTACGATATCCCTATGTTGGGGATATTCGACCCTACCCCACGCTCATCCCAGCAATACCTGTGCACCTTCCTGGAGCAACCAGAGCAAGAGGACTAACGCAAGCTGCACGTTTTTATCCCCGGCTTTCTTTTGGGGTTGTTTAAAAAACCAAAAACACAACATATCCCCATTATATTTCTATGGGGAGCGGAAGAAATGCACCTCGTGTGTGGGACCACAGAGGGTGACGTGTCAGGGAGAGGTTTGGGAGAGATCTGGAGAGAGGTCAGCCGTTCGAGTCAAGCCAAGAACTCAGCGAATTCTGCTCCCACACAGAAGAACTTGCTCGTTTCTGTGAGGATCCTACGGTGCCAGATGAACGCAGACGCTAAGCTAACAGACTCGAGACAAGTTTCTACATCAGGCATGTTTTTATACTTCAGCAATAATGATGAGTTTTCAAACTGTGTATATGTATATCTTTGGGCATCCTTGTGTATGTGTGTATACATATGTATTATGTACACAAACATATAAATATACACAAATCTGTCATGCTCCAGCTGTAGATAAATGCACTATAAAATATTGAAATTGATGCTGAAACGCAACACAAACAAATTCCTCAATCTGCAAACAAGGTTTTTATTTACATCACGAGAATGAATTTTTCTCTACTTCAAATGAAAGAAATGTTCTTACAAGCTCTTATTTTTCCTTATTTTCTGCTTAGAAATAGCACTCAGACAATTGTAAAAGCTTTTGCCTGACCTGCTTTGTATTTTCCTCTAACAAAGGTGACGACAGCGTCATTCTGCACTTTAGAAATAGTCGCCCGCCACACTCAACGGTTGCCCGTCGACAATTTCCCAAGTATTTTTAATATGAAGATCTACTTTTCATATGCTGCAGCAGACCTGCCTATTGAATTAAATGATCTGTGAATTAAAAATAATTCTCTTAGGTCTTCACTGAAACCACTCATGTGCCTAAAATTAAGCATATGCTTAAGTGCCTTGCTGGATTGGGGCCAGGACGCTTACTACTCCGCCGAGCCCTTCGCGGGGAAGCCAGGCTCTGCTGTGTAACTCCTCACACTGTGCTCACCACGGTGGTAGCTGAGCAGCTTCCAGAAGTGCATTCAGCAACGCCACCAACATCTACCACGTGGTGTTTTTTTCAGAGCGCCCCACACCGGCTCTGCTCTGGTGTCCACGTCCACTCGCGTTTCCCAGCCACGTTCCCACCGCGCTGAGAGCGAAGGCGAAATTTAAATACAGGAACTGCAGCTGCGCTAGGACATTTGGCTGATTTTTTGAGGGTAAGGCTAGAGCCCTTTGTGACTATCCAAGAAAAATGGGATTGTCACTCGGTGTTGCCTTAACCGAGCAAACCAGAAATGAAAGTGCCAGAAATCAGTTTAAAATACATTCTAGCTCTCAGCATCCTGCAGGGCATGAGGAAAGTTCAATAAGTTAGCCTGGGCTTGCTAACTTCATTATTATTATTTGGCTGAGTGTACTCGAAATGTCCACTTACTTCTGGAGAAATATTTCTTATGCGTGCCCGTGTACCAGCAATCATTAAACAACAGCATGTCAATGAGAGCGCTTAGATTTTCATCCTTCAGCACTGAAAATAAACATTTCACAAATGGGAGGTGAATTTCACAATTTTCCCAATTTGTTATTTACTTAGAAACATTAGGAAATCAGGGGGCTCGTCTTGCCAATCATTAGTAATATCTTGATACCCATAAAAGCAATGCCCTCAGCTTCCAGCTGTATCTCGAACTCATCTCGAGGCACGGTCAGTCCATGAATTCGCAGTTCAGTAGAACTCCATGAAAGTTTAAAGGTTTGCCTGGATGGCTCACATTTCAAAATCTGGGCCTCAGACCGCAGCTTATGCTGAGCTGCGATAACGGTGCAACAAGAAAATGAGAGAAACAGGACAAAGAGGCCAGGCATGTGAAAGAAGAATCACTGGCAAATAGCAGGACTGACAAAATAATGCAAAGTAAACATTTTGCGCCTATTAACGGGGGTCAAAACGCAAAGATCTATCAGCTTGGCTGTTGCACTTAATTCTGAACGAGAAAAAAATAGGTAAAGTCAAGCAATTATGTATGCAGATGTTAGAATTAATGAGCCCCTTTACTGAAAAGATGATTAAGCATCTTGAAAGAGTGCAAGATTTACTTTTCATAGGGCACTTTACTGAAATATGTGCACAGTGATACTTTTGCTAAATGTCCCAAAGACAGGACACCGAAGTTGCTGTATATGACCGAGTTATCTCCGCAGCTTTGTGCAACAGCCTCATTTTGGTGGCAAAGCAGGTGTTCAAAATGAGGATGAGAAAATTTTCACTCACTTCATAAAAAACTAACAGAGCTCATTCACTGAAATTCTGGGTAGAAATTAAGACACCTGGCTGGCCAAGGCAGGTCCTGACTCAGCAAAGCAGTTAGAGCACGTGCTTAATTTTCATCACATGCTTGAGTAAAGCACATGCTTATTTACCCTGCCAAATAAAGACGGGCTGACAAAGTTAAGCAGGCATTTAAATATATTGTCAAATCAGTCCTTCAACCCAAGCCTAGGTGCAGTAGGAGTTAGGTCGTTACACAAGACCTCACGAGGATGATCGTGTTTCCCCCCAAGGGCAAAAAAAAACAGGCTAGTAAGCCCAAATTGAATAAAGCAGATCAGGATACTAACTAATAAATAACTTGCCACCACCCAGTCACACGTTTGGTGTGGTGTACAAATGCGATGCAGCACTGCTGCCACAAGTACCACATGAAAAACATCTTCCCATAACTTGATGAGTGCTTTAATTGGGGAGAAAATTCATAATGCAATTTCCATATTGTTCTTTTAGATCCCAGTAAAGAAGCCAGAAGAAAAGGCTTGAATTGCTGCAGCCTAATTCCGATCTCAAAGAAGTTTTAAACAAGTCTTTCTACACTCTTCAAATAGAGTTTCACCTAATTTTCTCCTCATTTACACTGGCAGAGAAGAAATCAGGATTAGGGCTTGTTGTCTAATGCTATTTGTTTTGAATTATTAAGCAAACATTCCTATTTCAATGAGTAAACGTGTACAAAGGCAACTAACCTTCGTCCTAAAATCTAGTCTACAGGGAGAGTATTGTCTGCTTTCCCAATTAATGCTGTAAAAAGGAGTCTCAGACGTTGAGCTACCAATCAAGAGCTTGTGTTGTAGCTTGAGAAAATCATGACTGATGCAATTACTTTTATGTAGAAAGTCTGAATATGGTCTATAGGTTAAAGTTCATCGGGTTATTGTTCCTTAATTGAATATCAGAAGATGTTTTCAAGGTGCTCAAGGTATTATTGTTATTTAATTAGCAGGCTTCCTTGTGTAATCCAACAGTATTATGTTTATGATAAAATAGTTAGATTGCACCATAAATATACACGGTATTTTCTAAAGAGAGCTACAGCTCATTTCCTGAAATCCAAGCTTAAATAAAACCGGGAGCGAGTTACTTCTCTGAAGATGAAAAAATCCAAATTAAGTTATTTCTTTTCCGCTACAGCCCATGTGACAAAGTATCAAGCTTTGGAGAACAGCTTTTTCGGAGATTTTGATTCTTTCTCCGTGTTTTGAAATTACACAAGTCCCCCCAAACTAGCACCGAAGCCATTTCTAAAGCCTTTTTCATGTTTAGCATCTCACTATACATAGCCATCTTAAAACCTTAAAATAGTAATAATCAATTAGGGTCTCAAGCCTATTATCTTAACCAAATGCCTGATTAAAAGAAAAGCCCTCTCTGCTCAAAGTGCAACTCGATTCCTTTTGGGTTTATCCTCTCTCTAGATAATCCCATGTTTCACAAACAATGTGGAGCAATAATATCGATTAGA